AGTGATGTTCACATATGTGGCTTTCAGATATGAAGAAATATATTAGCGTTTGGAATTATCTTCTGGAGGGTGGGACCCTTGTAAGTATAGGCTTCCCCCTACTAGGTGAGTGTTCTAGGAACCCATCTGTATCTGTGTACCAGCTGGCGTTGTTGTGAGAGGCTGTGTTCAGCTTCAGTGAAAGTTTTTTTGAAGGCACTTTCAACGCGTTTGTCCATTTCATGATGGGTGATTTATGAGCGCACCTGCCCACACCACTCTGAGTGTTCAGCAGTTTTTCACCAAAAATGTCATGACACCCAAGGCCAACCCTCCCTGTTCACCTGGTCTCACCCCAAGAGGCTTTCCCCGCCCCCACCCTTCCTTGGGTGAAAAAGAAGTCCTCAAAGGACTTTTTGGTTTAGCTGATATGGAAGAGGTGAAACAAAAAATTGGCAGATACACTAAAAGGCATCAAAATCTATGAGTTCAGAAGCTGTTTTGAGCAGTATGAAAAAAAGTTTCGATAGATATATTGCATAAAATGGAGAGTACTTTGGAGGTGACTGAAATTTAAACATGTAAGAATAAATACACACTTTTTAATAAATAAATTTCATTATTTTTGGGTCCCCTTCATATTCCAAATAACTGTTACATTTTTTTTTCATGTATTTAAGATCCATTCAAAGTTTAACACAGACAGGTAGATTTTAATGTAATGGAGAATGAAAAGTTTACATTCCATATTGCAGCTAAAGTTTACATTCCATATTACAGCTCAACTTTGGGAAATTCACTTGTCAAGTTTTGATGTGATATCAAAAAAGAATATTCACAATTATCTAGAAAGATTAAAATACAGTTTCCTCTCCTAGCTAAATATTTCTGGAGTTTTTAAATAATACTTTGTCATACTGTAGCAAATTGAATCCAGAAGCAGAAATGAGAACCCAGATGTCTTCTATTAATCAAGTGTAAAACTGTGCCACACTCCTGTAAATTTACTTTTTTGTAGAATTTTCTTATAATTCTCTTCTTCATATTAACATGTAAAAGGTGTTGCTATTAATATAAAAATGAATTAAATATTTAAATTTTTAAAATTTTCATTTCTATTATGGTAACGTTCTTAGCTATTCCCCACATGAACAGAAGCTTGTGGGGTCCTCAGTAGTTTTGAGGGTGTGAGCATATCCTGAGATGAAAATTTGAGATGGCCTTGTTTAGGTCTTTCTCCTCTGGGACATTCTTTTTTATCTTACATATTTTATTCCCTCTATTTAACCAGTAGGTGTTTTTTGTTTTTTGTTCTCCCCAATCTCTCCTATTTTAGCATTTCTGAAATTGGGATGCCCATTGTTTTATTATGTATTTATAGCTAATGTAATATTTCTTTAATTTACCTATATTAAATGATGCTGTTAGTTAAAGCCAGTGTATGATTTCTCAGAGTAAGTAATTCTACTTTGAAATTAATAAAAGTTGTACCTTTTACAAAATTGAAACTAACATTTTTATCTGAAAGTAGCTAGAAATAAAATTTGTATTCCAGTGAATTGTTGAATAATAGAATTGACTTCACAGTTTGGGTAGTGACTGAGCCCTGACCCAGGAGCCTGGAGTACAGGCCAGAAAATTGTCCCTGTGGTCCTCTTGTCATCTCGCTGAGCTTCAGCTTAGTAGAGTCACATGTTCCTTCACTGTGACTTAAGTAGAGCCTCATGAAAACAAAAAGTTTAGATTTCTCCAAGTTAAATCATTGCTTCAGTTTCGTTAGTTGAGTGTGTGTGTGTTGTGTTTTCATATGTGTTTGTGCATGTGTGTATATAAACTGGATGAAGACGCCTTATAAATTTTCGTGCAGTCATAAAACCAAGAAGAAATTGTAAACTAATCAAAATATAAACGCACATTATCAGTGTGAGGAGCAGTGATATGTTACTGATTTTGAGCTGCAGACAGCATGAACACAGGCAGAGGTCCTGTGGCCCGTGTCTTGCCTTTGGGGCCTGGTTATGCTGCTTTTGTGTGTGCTGTGGTGGCACAGTTCCTTCAGCACATTAAATTGCAAGAAAACCTTGATGTCAAGATCATTATGATGCCATTTGTTGTTCTTTTGGTGAGAATACATAGGTCACTTTTTAAATTGAATTCCGTTCTTTTTTCATTAACCTGGTAATCAAATCTTTAGACCCCCCTTCCTGAATTTGATAGTGGACACAAATGTAAATGTGAGTTGTATTTTACTTGGAGATACTTGGTGATGAGATAGCACAAATGAATGATCCAGGTTATATATATATGAATTTTTTAATAGATGCCACTAAAATGAAAATAAAATACTGAATTTGTGAATAACTGATAGTAAGTGCTGCCTAACAGCACATTTGCTGGGTTGGCCTCCATATTGCTGTGTGTGCACCTGCCCCAGCCTCCACCCAGAAGGGTCAGCCTGCAGGGTCAGAATCCCTTCTGTGACCCACCTACCTCTCTTCCCCTTTCTGTCCAGTATCTAAAGTATGGAGAATTACAAACACAAAAAGGTAGAATGATGGTTACTTTTGTCTGTTTTAGGCTAACAGATTAAACAATTACCATGGTTCTAATTATTTATCTAATCTGAATCATGTATGGAACTTGTTTCTTCTGGGAAGTTTTTCTAAAACAAGTAGAGTAAGCTGTTTTATTGTGTCTGAGCAAATTCAATAAAATTAAATAGTCTCTGACTTTATTTTGGGGTTGACATGTACTTTTATGTGGTTTATTATTACTGTGGGTAGTACTTTTGATCCTTACCTGTGTACCATTTTTGAAAGATCCTCGAATAGCGCTTATTTTGGACACACACACACACACAGAAATTGAGGTGTACAGAGTTCTTTAACAACACAATAATTAAGAGCACTATATATTCAAGAAGCAGTATAGTTGTCCAGAAGTAATTTATTCTCCCCTTCTCCATTTTATTGCCTATTGCTTACATTCTGAATGTGGTGAACCTGGGAACAATTTTTTTAATTTGGAGAAAATTTCTTGTTTTATATTAAATTTATATATAATTTCATTATAGTATTGATTCTTCGATGTATAATTTTTGAACTTATTTTGAGAGTGACTATATATACTTAAAAATTCGAAATTATTTTTCTCTATACTTTTCATGTTTGTGTTTCTCCCAACAAATTAAAATCACCACCAACAATATTAAATGTTCAGCATGTGTTTCCTCTGGTAGTGCCACTTAGGTTCTATTATTATTAAATCCTCATGATGTGGAAGCAGGTGTTAAATGCAACGATATTATGACTCACATACCTGTGTTTTCTCTGATAATTTGTAGTTTGTTTTAACATCTTTGAGACTATTACTGGATTGATAATGATTTAAATATAATCTGCAGTGCATGTAAATAGTCTCTCTTCAGTTTAGCACCCTAAAGGGTCTGTGCATTCACACCATTGACCAATACATTAGAGTTCTAAAAGTGTTTCTCATAGAGTAAATGGTGAGTTTAGTACAAGGTTAAAGCTGTTTTGTTGGCACTTTTTTATAAATATTTAAGTAATTTAGTTTTTGAACAGAATCAACACAATTCAATCTAATATTTTTTAGTAATAGGTTTTTGAGTGGCTTTGCTCAGTTGATGGGTGGGCTTTTGGGTCTGATTTTCAATGTTAGAGACTCATGTGCTTTTATTTTTCTCTGTCTCTTTTCTACTATAACAATGATTATATCTGCCAAAATGTTCTCAGTGATATTGATACAAATGTTAGCCTAACAGTATTACTGATTTTGTTACAGCAATTGCAAACTCCTTTCTTATAAGAATGAAGTTATTAAAATACTGTCTTTCATGTCATTTTGTATATGTATATATGCCAGATAGTACTGGATTATTAACATATTACTTTTAAGTTTTTTCAGTCTTAGGAACATAAAATACGTTTGTGCTTTACACTCTGATAATACTTCATTTGAGCAAAAGAAATATTTATTCAGTAAAATTCTTTAATAATCTAGCCAAACACTGTTAATAAAAGATCTTAGTCCTGGCTGGTGTGGCTCAGTGGATTGAGTGCTGGCCTGTAAATCAAACGGTTGCTGATTCCATTCTCAGTCATGGCACATGCCTGGGTTGCAGGCCAGGTCCCAATCGCGGTTGCAGAAGAGGTAACCGCACATTGACATTTCTCTCCCTCTCCTTCTCCCTCCTTTCCCCTCTCTCAAAATAAAGAAGTAATTTTATTTTATTTTTTTTTTGTTTTTAGAGAGATGGGAAGGGAGGGCGAAGGAGAGGGAGAGAAACACTGATGTGCTAGAAAAACATCATGGCTTGCTTCTTATACACCCTCAGCCAGGGACCTGGCCTGCAACCCAGGCATGTGCCTGGAAATTGGAATGGTGACTTTTGGTTTGCAGAATTACACCCAACCCACTGAACCACACCAGTCAGGGCTAAAATCTGTATTTTTAATCCAGCAGATATGATTAAAACTTGGATGAAGTTTGTTTCATGGCTTAGATTTATTATTTATATTTTTTGAATATGTATGCTATTTTATTTAGAAATATTAGGGTAATAATGGCAGTAATGGTTATTGATACTCTCTTGAGTGCACACTATGTGTTTGGCACTGTTTTAAACATTTTATTTAATTTAGTCCTCACAGTACACTTATGAAAGAAGTACTTACTGTTTTATTGCCATTTGCCTACAAACACACTAGAGATTGAGGCTACTTAGGTAGCTTCCTCAGAAGCACACAGTAACAAGTGGTGAAGCACATTTTCAAGTCCATGCAGTCTTGCTCAGAGCAGGTTATCCTTTACATACCACATTTCTTTTGCTGTAAAGTGTTTCTTAGGAACTAATGGAATGTCTGTTTAGAATGCTGACCCATCTTAAATTGTTATTCTGTTCTTTAATCTTTGGGATTTAACCAATTTTATCCTAACATGTAGTTTCCTGACATTAGTTATCTTTTTTTCAAAAACATAATGCTTTTTTGTATTTGTAGATATGCCTCTTCATGTCCGACGAAGCAGTGACCCAGCTTTAATTGGCCTCTCAACTTCTGTCAGTGACAGTAATTTTTCCTCTGAAGAGCCTTCACGAAAAAACCCCACACGCTGGTCAACAACAGCTGGCTTCCTCAAGCAAAACACTGCTGCTAGCCCAAAGCCCTGTGACAGGAAGGTAACCACTTCTGTGTTGTGTTGTAGTCCTTTTTGTATGTGCTTACTGACTTTCACCTCAAAATTTGGAGAACTTCCTATTTTAAATTGCCCTTGAATTTTCTGATAAAATTCATACTATATACAGTGTACATTTATTTATCCATTTTTGAATAGATAATATATTCATATGATTAAAAATCTTTTTGATATGAAGTGTGTGCATGTGAAATACCTACCTTGTCTCCTGTCCTACCCCTGTTTCTCTTCATGGGCAAGTCCCTTGTTAGCTTTTGCCAGGTTTTTACAGGGATGTTTTATACGCTCTGAAGCAGATACTCATATTGGTTCCTGAGATACAATAAAGAAATTATAGCAGTATGGACTTTAAAGGATGAAAGTGGACTCCATGGTTATTTATTCTAACTCCTAAATGATAATTGTATCGCCCTCTAAAATGGAATTGTACCATAGTCTAAAAATTAAATTTTCTTTTGACCTAATTTAGTCTATGACCTAATTTTATAAATTGATTTAGTTCATTTTTTCTAATTCGTTTGTTAATGGTCTTTGTTGTATATTTCTATATAACCTTTATCTTGTGCCATTATACTTACAGTCTTTCACCTAGTGAGTTTTAACCTGTGTTTTGTCATTTTCATTTCTGAACTGATAGAACAAATGTTCAGTAAACATTGGTTGAGTGAATTAATAAACATTTTCCAATGTTAGCACAGTATATATTATATAGAGAGAGTATATATTGAGAAATGTGGAACTATATTAATCACATATTAATATTAAAATAAATGTAACTTGAACTTCGCTTTATTTGTTCTATGTGAGAATGTCTGTTTTAAATATTTCTTTTAACTTGGTTTTGTATTTCTTTGCACTAGTTCAAGAAAAAAAATTATGTAATACCTAAGTTTAAACTGAGAAGCATCTACCAAAAGAGTGTACTAAAAGTTTATATAATTTTTTTTTTTTTTTTTGATTAGGGATTTAACTTGCTCTTCTGAAAAATGTTATTATATAATGAGAATTTGAAGTATATTTTCATGGAGATTAGCTTGCAATTTTAGAATGGTTTATCATGTAGTAGACTGTCCAAAGAAACAATCCAGTTTATGAATAGAGCTCATGACATTTAACTTGTGTTCAGAATAAACCTAATTTTTTTGGGTATTCACAAATATGTAAACAATTCTAGTTGGCAATTAAAAAAATTTCATTACTTTTTAAAAAAGTTTTAACGTAGTTGAAGGATAGTGGGAACTCATTTAACATTGTGGGCGTGTGGTTCAGCTTCAGGTGTAGCAAACAGAGCCACAGTAGCCATTTTAAACATAAAAGGAGGTAATACTAAGAATTTGTTTCTCAGAAAATTATTGAAAAGGCTTGTAATCACCCTCTAGGGTGAGCCTCAAGGATTTTCTGAACAATAAGTTAATACACATCAGGACTGCCCAGGGAAGAAGGTACCACTATAGGGCCAGGGCCTGGGATCTTCCTACATGCCTCTGGCCACTAAACTCTAGCACTCTGTCTCCAGATATGCCCACCTTACTTATTGTCACCTGTGAAGTTAGGAGCAGAACCCAGATGTGCCTTAGAAAACTCTTATTGCCATAGCTATGCTTGCCAGCACCAATAGGCTAAGAAAATTTCACTTCACAACGATTATTAAAATCTCAGACTGTTGAATCCAAATCGGCAGAATGTAATTTGCACCCAGATCCTTTATCTGCTTTGTACCCTGGGATATGGACTCTAGCCTTCCAGCCTCTGCAGCAGAAGGAGGCATGCTGGAAGAGGGTTGAGATGCTCATTGCCAATGAATCATACCTATTGCACTGACTTTTTGTTTTACATAACATGTATCTAACATTGTAAAAAAAAATTTGGGGAAACTAAAAGAATAGAACAAAATTAAATTATTCATAATTCCCAAACTCAGTGACAGCCAGTATTACGATGTTGGTGAGTGTGTGTGTATGGAATTGGGAGGCATACTGTGTTATATAGTTGTTGCATCCTGATTATTTCTACATTTTGTTCATATCATAGAGATTTCCCATGATGTGAATTTTATTAGAAATTTTTTTTTCCTTTTTATTGAATTTATTTGGGTAACATTGGTTAATAAAATTACATAGGTTTAAAGTATATAATTCTATAATGCATCAATGTCTTTGGGGCTCACTGTCACCAAAGCTTGAATATTCTTAAAAAATTTATGTAACTCTTACCCAAGCATGTTAGAAAATATCTTTAATGCAAAATATTTCACTTATAGGGTCCACAGTAATTTATTTATAACTTTTTTACTGTTGGACATTTATACTTTTTCCATTTTTTTCACACTATTAAATATAAGTGCTGTGAGGCAAATTTGTTGATGTCTGCTGGCCTTCAGTATATCCTCTTAGGAGAAGTATCTATTCAGGTTCTCTGCTTATTTTTTTATTTATTAATTAAGGTTTTAAGTTGTATGAGTTCCTTACATACTATGGATGTTAATCCCATATCAGATGTATTCTCCCCTTCAGTTTGTTGTCTTTTTGTTTTGTTAATGGTTTATTTCACTGTGAAAGGACTTTTTAGTTTGATGTAATCCCATTTTTTTTTTTTTTTTTTACTGTTGTTGTCTTTGCCTTAGGAGACACATCCAAAGAGATATTGCTAATACTGATGTCAAAGAGTTTATTGCCTATGTTTTCTTTTAGGAGTTTTTTGGCTTCAGGTCCTACATTTTAGTCTTTAATCCATTTTGAGTTTATTCTTGTATATGGTATAAGGAAGTGGTCCAATTTCATTTTTTTTGCATGTATCTTTCAATTTTCCCAGCACCACTTATTGAAGAGACTGTCTTTATTCCATTTTATATCCTTGTTTCCTTTGTTGTAGATTAATTAACCATATACGTGAAGATTTTTCTCTGGGCTTTCTATTCTGTTCCATTGAGCTATATGTATGTTTTCATGCTAGTACCATACTGTTTTGATTATTGTAGCTTTGCAATACAGTTTGATATCAGGGAGCATAATACCTCCCACTTTGTTCTTTCTCAAGATTTCTTTGTCTATTTGGGGTCTTTTGTGGTTCCATATACCTCTTAGTACTTCTTTTTAAAGAGATTTTATTTACTTAGTTTTTTAGAGAGTGGAGGGAGGTAGAAAGAAAGGGAGAGACACATTGATATGCAAGAGAAACATTTATTGGTTGCCTCTCACATGACCCCAACAAGGAACGTGGCCCTCAACCCAGGCGTGTTCCCTGACTTGGAATTGAACCAGCGACCTTTCGGCTTCCTGGATGATGTCCAACCCACTGAGCCACACCAGTCAGGGCCATATACATTTTAGTATTATTTGTTGTAATTCTGAACTCATAAGAACAGATACTACAATTGATCGTAGCCAAAAGGCTGAGAAGCAATATTTGTTCTAGTTCTGAGAAAAATGCCATTGGTATCTCAGCCAATATTTGTTCTAGTTCTGAGAAAAATGCCATTGGTATCTCAGCCAATATTTGTTCTAGTTCTGAGAAAAATGCCATTGGTATTTTGATAGGGATTATATTGAATCTGTATATTGCTTTAGGAAGTAAGGACAGTTTAACAATATTAATCTTTCCAATCCATGAGCAAGGCCTGCGTGCCTGCCTCCCTCCCTCCCCTTCCTCCCTCCCTTCCCTCCTTCCCTCCCTCTCTCCTCCCTCCCTCCCTCCCTCCCTCCCTCCCTCCCTCCCTCCCTCTCCTCCCTCCCTCCCTCCCTCCCTCCCTCCCTCCCTCCCTCCCTCCCTCCCTCCCTCCCTCCCTCTCTCCCTCTCTCCTCCCTCCCTCCCTCCCTCCCTCCCTCCCTTCCTTCCTTCCTTCCTTCCTTCCTTCCTTCCTTCCTTCCTTCCTTCCTTCCTTCCTTCCATGCATCTGTATATCTATCTATCTATCTATCTATCTATCTATCTATCTATCTATCTATCATCTCCTCACCTAAGGGCATTTTTCCCCCGATTGCTTATAGAAAGGGGGGAGGGAGAGACACACACATCTATGTGAGAGAGAAGCATTGATCGATTGCCCCTGAGAGGCTCCCCAATCAGGGATGGAACTTGCAACCTAGATATGTACCTTGACTGGGAATCAAACCTGTGACTTTTTAGTATGTGGGATGATGGCTTCAACCAACTGAGCCACACCAGCCAAGGTCTTCCATTTATTTGTATGTCTTTTAATTCCTCCAGTGTGTTAAAGTTTTCAGAATACAGGTCTTTTACCTAATTGATTAGATTTATTCCTAGGTACTTTATGTTTTTTAATGCAATTGAAAATGTGATTTTCATTTCTTAATTTTTCCTTTTGATTGTTCATTTTTGGTGCTTAGAAATGCAGCAGATTTCTGTATATTGATTCTATATTCTATATTGAGCATCTTTACCCAATTCTTTATTAGCTTTAATAGTTTTGTGTTGGAGTCCAGGCTTTTTTATATTTAGTATCATGTTATCTGCAAATAATTAGAGTTTTACATTGTCCTTTCTGATTTAGATGCCTTTTATTTATTTTTCTTGGATAATAAAAAAATATTTTTATTTTATTGCTATGGATAGACTTTCCATATTTTCAATATTCAGAAAGGATGCTTGGAGGAAAGCATATATGCTGATCATTTTTAAATTTATTTCATTTGTGTCTGTTGGTATTTAGCTAATGCTGGACAATTTCAAGATGTTAAAATTTCTCATCAGTGTGTAATGATTTTGGTTTTCTGTATAAAACATGGAAATAAATTACTTAAGGGTTGGGTAATAGTCTTTAGATCCATTGGCTCTAATGGTTAGAATAAGATGACCTTCTTGCATAACTCATGTATATAGTTAAGTGGTTACCATTCTTTAATGTTGAATGAGCAAAAGAGTTTTAGAATAATGCCAACCAGGGAATTAAAATTTCTATTTCTGAGCAGGAAAGTTCCATTCTGGTATGCTAGAACACTGCCATGTTGAATTCCCTTCTGTGGT